AGTTCTTGAGCTTTGGCTTGATAAGCCAAATATGTTATTTGATGTTTCCTTCTTTGTTGAGTAGATGGACCTTGACCCTTTTTATGACTGTGATTTCTTACTTTTTTCTCCTCTGATAATTGTTTTAATAGCCATTCTTTGGAATCTGGCATTATTTGTTCGCCAGATAAATCAATAATATTCATAGGTATTTGTTGCCTTTTCTTTTTGCCCCCGCATAATATTTGAAGTGCTTTCTCATCTAAACCTAGTTCATTTTCTGGAATTGATTCTTCATTGTCTTCTGCACTTGGAACAAACGAATTAGGATCTTCCTCCACATTTTGAGGATAGTATGTATCTGCTGATGGTAATGGACTACTAAAAACATTTTCTTGTGTTTCAAATTGATTTTCGATCATGTAGTTTGTAGGTGTTTCATTATTTAAACTTTTGTCACTTATCATTTCAACATTATTACTGGATTCACTTAAACTACTTCCAAAAAATGAATTACCAGATAATGTTTCATCATCGTCATCATCATCACCACCATTATTTTTATCATTGTCCGACAATTTGGGTTTTTTAAGAAACTTATTAATTACACGAGAATTATCACTTTGACTTTTTTTAATTTGTGAAATGCTTTTAGGAATTAAGTTATTATTGACATTTTTAGGTGGTGGTAAAACAGAAAGTAATCCAGCATTTTTACTAATTAATTTGGGTTTTTTGCTTTGGGGCTTATCATCATCATCATCATTAAAATCCGATATTGAAGGTACGGATATTTGAACAACTTCTTTTTCAGACTTTTTATTTTTATTAACAACAACTTTTTTATTAAATGCCAAACTTGATAGTAAACTGTCGTCCATGATCAAAGAAAGATTATTTCGGGGTTTTGGAAGGGCTGAAAATAATGATTCGTTTGAATTTGATGAAATATTAGAGGAAGTAGAATTATTTACATTATTTACAGATTCACTATTTTCACATATTGAAGTCTTATTTAATTTTACTTCATTATTTTGTACTTCTTCGTCACTCTCTTCGTCACTACTACCGTAATCTACCAGTGGCATTATTATGGCAGAAATTACGAGAAAATATATATAAATATATTAAGATAAAAAACACAAACCACTAAAAAATAATAAGTTCAGATTTGCCAACATTAAAAATTTTAATCTGTTATTTTATGCCGATAAAGTCATAGAATATGAAAATTTTTTTATTCTTTGAATCTAACAAAAAATAGCCCGAAAACACCGGGAAATTTTTTAAAAAAATCAATTAATATGCTAAAATTTAATAATTTTAATTTTTTTTATTTTTAAACTAAACTTAAATTAAAAAATTTTATAAATAAAAAAACTTAAAGTCATGATTTTTAATAGATACTTTGTAAATTTTTTTTTTTTTTTTTTTTTTAAGGAATTAAAATTAAAACATTTGGTTATTGTAAATAAAAATATATATTAATAAGATCAATTTTAATTTATAAAAGTCGCCAATAAGTAAAATTTTTTAAATTTTGCTATTTGTAGTTGGAAAATATTTTTATTATTTAATTAAGTACACCTGCTTATTTAAATCAAATGTCAAAGTTGGCTAAACTGATCCATGCAGCAGAATGATAATAACAAGTGAATTTCGAAAAAAATGGCACGTTAATGATAATTTTTTTTGAAAGTAAATACAATCAGACAAAAATAGTTAACTTGTTTAAAAAAAATTATTTATTTTGTAAACAAAATTAGTAAATTTTAGTCATTTAAACTATATAATTACTAATAATTTTTAAATTAATTGTGCCGTTCATTCCGGATTTGATTTAACCAAAGTAATCGTGATAGTTTACCGATTTTTTTTTTTTTTTTTTTTTTTTACAGGTACGTTAAGTTAATTATAAATAATTGATGAATTTATTTATTTTTTTTTTTTTAAATTATTTCTTCTGTCGTTAATTTTTATGTTAAAAATTTTTTTTTTTTGTTGAAATTTTTTATTTTCTTTTTTTTTATTACTCAATATTACAACATGTGAACAATTTTATTTAAAACCTTTCTTCTTGGTTCTTAAATTTTTATTTGAGTAGCTTTCACTTTATTGTCATTATTTAAAAAAAATTTCGAATAGCCTGTTAATTTTTTAGTGTCTAACATTATTATTATTATTATTTTACAATATTATGTTTGTAAAATATAACCTATGTATTAGGGTAATTAAAAATTTTTAATTACAGTATAATTTATTAGAGCACCAGTAAAATCCTAGTTAATCTGTAATTAATTACAAATAGTAAATAAAGTAACAATTTTTTTTTTCATTAATTATTTATGTCAGTAGTGCAACCTATTCATTTATTAAATACAAAAAAATTTTCAAAATGATTCAAAATAATAATACTATTTAAAATAGTAAGTTTTTTTAAACAAAAGCTAAAATTTTTTAATAAACCATCATGACAAATAAGCGATATATATTTTTAAAAAAAGTCAATTAAAAGGTATGATTCACAAGTTGAGAAAACCCAAATATTTTCAAGGTTTTTTTTTTAAAAATAGAAACTTGCTTGGTTATAAATTTAATTGCTTTGAATGTATTATCAGTCCCCCCCCTTTTTGTTTTTTTTTTTTTTTTTTTTAAATTTAATTCAATCGTTAGATGTAAAAAAATTTTTTTTTTTTTTTTTTTTATTAAACTAAGTGATACTTATTTAAAAATTAGTTATTATATATATATATGCAAGAATACAATATAATTAAAGACAATGGGATCTAAAAAATTAAAATCTAAATCGAAAACGAGTGGGATATTAAAAAAAAGAGATTTGGATTCGAATGAATACAAAAAACAAAATAATGAAAAAATAACAAATATAAAAAAAATGTCATCACTTGAAGATGTGTCTAAGTTAAATAATAATAATAATAATAAAAGAAATGGAAATAAATTAACTGGAACAAAAAATGAATTGGTATGACTATGATTAGAGCAAAAGCATGAATTAATAACTTGTGCATGCGATTAAATACTTTTTTTTTTTTTTTTTTCGTATACGTAGTCAACTCTTCATACTTTTATTTATGCAAAACTTTTATCGATAAATAAATTTAAGAATGAAAAATTACATATTGTATTATTTGATTATATTATTTTATTTTAAAAAATGGATTATAATTGTTAAATTGTAATTTTTTTTACAAAAAGTAAATTATTTTATAAAATTTAGTGATAGTATATATATATGTATATATATGTATGAGAAGATTTGAAATTATTTATCGATTTATCTAAATGTAAAATTACAGATAAAAAATTTAAAATTTTAGGAACTAAAAAATAAAATACATTGCATTGACTCATCAAATTAAAAAATATATTTAATTTTATAATTTTATTGCTATTGATTAAAAAAAAAAAAAAAAAAAAGAATCGAATTGTAATGAAACAAACATAGTTTTCAGTTATCGCCTTATTATTTTAAATACCTTTTGCTGATTTATAAAATTTCTTTGGAGCAGCCTGATTGAAAATTGCATATTTAAGCACAATTGTTTGTTTCTTTTAATAATTTTTTTTTGTTTTGTTTGCTTACACAATCGCTATCAAGGTATTATTATTATTACTTATTTGTTTTCCATGAAAATCATACATAGAAAATTGGAATTAATATGTAAATAAGAGAGAAAAAAAATGGCATGTCTTGTAAATTTATTTATTTTTATAAAAATAATATATATATAAAAATATGTATTTTTATTTTCAGTTGCATAAACTAGGAAATGTGATGGCCTCTGTTAAAAAAAAAACCGACGTTTACAATAGTCATCAAGCAAATGGCGCAACTCAAAAATCAAACACCACAAAAAAATTTGGACATATGAAAAAGGGTGAAGAGAAAATCGAACGTGAAAAAATTGTTTTATGGCGTCGACCCGTTCAAACTTTAATTTATTTCACAAGAGAATTAAATTATAATAGAATAACATTTGGTGAAAAGGCGAAAAAATACAAGGCAACCGTCATTATTTCTTCTGCTTTGTTAGGTTTATTTTACATGTTACTTCATACGGATGGACCTCATCAAATTGTAAGTTTTCTTTTTTTTTTTTTTTTTTTTTTGCCAAAATGAAATTTGTAAACGAAAACATTTTTCATTTCGATTGGTATTTTGAAAATTAATTATGTTTTTAAATTTTTTTTTTTTTTTAGTATTGTCAGCTAGTCAAAGGAAAAGCAATTTGGTGTTTATATTGGTTAGGTCTTGGAATTTTATCATCTGTCGGTTTAGGTACTGGTCTTCATACATTTCTACTGTATTTGGGACCCCACATAGCATCTGTAACTTTAGCCGCTTATGAATGTGGATCGCTCAATTTTCCAGAGCCTCCTTATCCCGATGAGTATGATATCATTAATTTATGTAACATTTATTGATCATCATCATCATCATCATCATCATCATCATTTTGAAATTTTTCATTTGTTGTCTTTGAAAAAAAAAAAAAAAAGAAAATTCTTATAAGTGCTTATTACTTGTAGAATAATATGCCCTGAAAGAAATGATGTCAGGTGGGGGCCAAGCATATTTAATATCATGTCAAAAGTTAGATTAGAAGCCATGATGTGGGGAGTTGGAACTGCTCTAGGTGAATTACCACCATATTTTATGGCTCGAGCTGCCAGATTATCTGGATACGATCCAGATGATAAAGAAGATCTGAAGGAGTTCGAAGAACTTAGAAAGAAGAAACAAAATTCCGATTCTTTGGTAAGTAAACACTTAAATTTTTAAAAAATGTAACAAGTAGATGATGAAATAATAATAATAATAATAATAATAATAATAATAATAATGTTTTTCTTTCAGAGCATGCTCGATCGTGCCAAATTATTTGTAGAAAAATTGGTTGAAAAAGTTGGATTTTTAGGAATATTAGCTTGTGCTTCGGTGAGTAAATATTTTTTTTTCAGTGCGAGAAACCTATGAAAAAAAAAAAAAAACCGTTACGAATACTTTATGAAATTTGTCATTTTCAGATTCCAAATCCGTTATTCGATTTGGCGGGAATTACCTGCGGTCATTTTCTAGTCCCCTTCTGGACATTTTTTGGAGCGACGGTTTTGGGAAAAGCCGTCATTAAAATGCACATACAAAAAATGTTCGTTATAATTGCTTTTAATGAATCGCTCGTGGAAAAAGCTGTCGGATTTCTCGGATACGTTCCTTCGATAGGTCATAAACTTCAAGAACCTTTCAAAGATTTTTTAATTAGGCAAAAATTAAAACTTCACAGGCGTTCGGAATCTGAAGCACACGTGGTAAATATCGTTACGTTTGAAATTTAAAAAAAAAAAATTAATTAAAAATGGTTAAAATGTATTTATTTTTCTTTTACAGGAAGGAGGAAATTTATTAGCTTCCATATTTGAAAAATTTGTCATAGCCATGGTTATATATTTTATACTGTCTATAATTAATTCATTAGCACAAAGTCACTACAAGAGAATATGCAAAGAAAAAAAAGCTAAACAGACAAAAGATTAGTATTTTGTTAAAAAAAAAAAAAAAAAAAACAGAAAAAAATATTATTAGTTTTACAGTATTACGACGGACTTTAGGTTTTTAGGTATGCAAAAAAAAAAAAAAGTTGTACAAACGAAAACAGTTTAAATGCTAAATATATATTATGCTGCTTAATTGTTTAAATAATAATAATAATAATTATTTGGGAGGTTTATAGGAAAATCATTTTTATTTAGTAATTAAGGTGGATGATGTTCATGTTTTTCCCTTTTGTATTAAATCGTTAATAATAAAAAAGGGAAACAAAAAAAAAAAAAAAATTAAAAAGGTATAGGATTTAACAATGGAAAATTTTCATTAATAATAATGATGGAAAAAAATAATAATTTTTGTAGATTTTACAAAATTTAAATAAAAAAAAAAAAATACATTCCTCATAATATATATATATATAAATATTATTTTCCCTTTAAAAAAAAATTTTGTGTTTGTTTTTGTCATATTAATTAATTAATTAATTACAAGATTTAAATTTGTTGGTTGTAGCCCCCCCCCCAACAAAAAAAAAAAAAAAAAAAACCCAATTATTAGCCGTCGTATTATTATTATTATTATTAATAATTTTTTTCCTTTTTTCGAAAAAATAAAACAAAAAAATATTGTTTTAAAATTATTATTATTTTCCAAAAAAAAAAAAAAAAAGAATAATTAATGAAAAAAATTTAAAAAATATTTGTGCGTTTGCCGCCTTATTTTTTAATTTTACTTTCATTCCATGTTTCTTTATTATTATTATTTTTTTTTTTTAAATTGTGATTTTTTTTGATAAATTAAAAACAGAATTAAATTAAAACTTTTATTTTTATCTTTTATTTAATAATAATATAAAATTAATTAATTTTTATTTATCTGAATTGTAAGCTTGAATTGATACTTCTTGTAAAAAAAAAAAAAAAAAAATGGCTATGAGAATTACATAGAAAAAATGAAATGATAGGAATTGGTTTGTTGTTGTCGGTGTAAAAATTAAATAAATATTCATTTTATTTAAATATTTATATATATATTATTTAAAATTTAATGTACTTTTTCAAACTTGTTATATAGCTTTTTTTTTTTTCTGTGTCTATAAAGAATTAATATTAAGAAAAATTATCTATATAAATGATCAGCTTCAATGTTGGCTGCTATTTCTACTTCCCATTTATCACCATTATCAAGAAGTTTTTCTTTGTTGTACAATAATTCTTCATGGGTGAATGTTGAATATTCAAAATTTGGCCCTTCGACAATTGCATCAACTGGACAAGCTTCTTGACAAAATCCACAATATATACATTTTGTCATATCGATATCGTACCTAGTCGTTCTTCGACTTCCATCCGATCTTTCTTCTGCTTCAATAGTTATCGCCTAATTTTTTACAAACAGGTAATATTATTGATTATTATTATTATTTGTTTTAATGTTAAAAATTTTTAAGTTTTTTACCTGAGCTGGACATATTGCTTCACACAATTTACATGCAATGCATCTTTCTTCACCAGATGGATATCTTCTTAAAGCATGTTCACCTCTAAACCTTGGGCTTAATGGTCCTTTTTCAAAAGGATAATTAATTGTGGCTGGTTCTTTAAATGTTGTACCAAAAACAATACTCAAACCTCAAAAAAAAAAAAACACATTTTTCGTTAGGTAAAAGTAAGTATAAGAGAACACATTACTTAATTTTTTTATATGAATATAATTTGACAATAAATTAATTTTTGTTTCTAACCTTGAAGGAATTCATGTAGTAAAACTTTTTTAACAAAATCATCCGTAATTTCTGCATATGTGTGTTCTTCTGGTAGTTTATTTGGACTTCTTACTACTTTATAGCTACAATTTCTAATTCCAAGTGAGATTGCAGGAGTGAACGCTAAAAAAATTTTTAATATTGAAAAAAATATTATTTTAATAAACTTATTTATAAATTTCAAAAAAATATTTTTAACACAAAAATTTAAAAGACTTTTTCTATACTCAATTAAATTATTTTTTGTACAAAATATCTTTAATATGTAAATTTTTTTTTTAAAAAAAAAAAAAAAAAGGCTTTTGACTTATTTAAATCTACGATACGATAAATATATATTTATTTTTTGTAATTATAAATTTTAAACACCCTATTTATTATATTATCGATAATAAAATTAAAATGATATTTACTTGACTTAGTTAACGAAAATAACTTCATTAACGCCATTTTGTCTAATTCAATTCAAAAGTTTTCTGCTTTTTTAATATAGCCAACCTTTGAGAAAAAAATTATGAATTGTAAAAACTGTTACTGTCAAATTTATTTTTATAATTTTAATTTATTATTATGAAGTGTGTTATACCAGGGCCGAATGTAAAAAGTTAGTTTTTTATTTATATTTAATTAACTTTAATAATTTTCGTTTTGTTTTTATTATTATTATTATTATTGATAATTAATTTTTATGTGAAAGTTTTAGGTAGAGCCATACATTCTTTAGCAAAACTTGGTGATGAGTTATACATAGAAGCAACGGATAATGATTTATTTTTTAGGACTGTTAACTCATCTAAAACGGCATATGCTTCATTTTGTTTTTCTTCTGACTTTTTTTTATTTTTTCAAACCGAAAGAAGATATGGTGAGTAATGATAATTTGTCAATACCGTGTTAAATAATAAATAATTTAAAAATTTATTTCCATGTTAATTAAAACCATTTTACAATTGTTGTAATGTTTTCATTTTGTGATAACATTTTAAAACGGTTTAAAATTATTATTTTTTTTTCAGATTCTTTAACATGTCAAATTTCAATGAGATCTGCATTGAATGTATTTAAATCTCCCATGTCTCTTGAAAAAATAACTGAATCGATACAAATTCAATTTTTACCAGACAGCGACAATGTTATATTTATTATTAAATATAAAAAAGGAGTTAACAAGACTTTTAACATACCTGTTATCGAATGTGAAGCTCTTCAGGCATATTACATGAAAGAATCAACTCCCAACAGCATAACAATACAGCCAAAAATTGTTGGTGAAATTTTAAATAATTTTCAAAATCATCACGATGAAATCACATGGAAAGTTGCTAAAAATCAAATAATAATAAAAAATTTTTCAGAAGTGGAAAACGAATGCAATGATATAAGAACAGAAATATGCGTTAACAAAGATGAATTTGACAATTATAAAATAGATAATGAAACTGAAGTGACATTTTGTTTAAAAGAATTAAGAGCTGTTTTATTATTTTCCGATAGTGTTTCATTACCACTAACGGCTAACTTTAGCGTGTGCAGTAAACCGATTGTGTTTGTTATAAAAGATGATGTTTTCGAAGTTAACATTGTTGTCTCGACTCTTTCCGGTGATGATAATTCATCTTTGGACAATTTAAGTGTGCCTACAACAAATAATAGTGATAGTACTCAAAACAAAATTGAAACAAATTTTGAAACAAATAATGAAACAAATCAATTTTTAAATGGTGATCATGTTGATATGCCAATTATCGAATCAAGCGAAAATAATTCGAATAGTGATAGATTAAATAATGTATTTAGAGAATGTTTTGAAAAAGAAGAACATTATGTTGAAAATTTACCAGGTTATAGTGTTATATTAGTACCAGAATCAGATTCTGATTGTTGATTTTTATTTTCCTCATTGTAAAATTTTTTCTTTTATTGTTAAAAAAAAAAACTGTTAAAAATAGGAATTTGTTATAGTTCATCATCACATTTACAAAAAAATTTTCTTTTAATTGTTAAATCGAGTGAAATTGTAGACATATGCTTTAATACTTGATACCAAAGAATAATATTTAATAAACAGTAATATTGCCATTCAAAATAAAAAATTTTATTTGTTTTTGTTGTAATTTATTTATTTATTTATTTATGATTTATTCGAAACAAAAATAGGGAAAAAAATTTTTTCAAAAGTTTAATAAAATAATTTTTTCACTTTATCTCTCTCTTTCTCAAATTATTATATTCAAACACATTTAAAATATTTTTTTTTCTCAATTATTCTAACTTAAAATACATCATGCAGGAAGGAGAGAGAGAGAGAGAGGGAGAAAAGAAATAATAATAAAGGAAACTGTTTTCGAATGTAAATAAGTCGTAAAAAAAAAAATGTTTGCTCAAAGGTCAAAGGAAAAGTTGTACGTCCTAGAAAATCATCAAATAATTTTCTTTTCTTTTTTTTTGTCATAATAATATTTGTATAACCGAAAATTCAGATGTGAATGAGAAGTCATTTAAAGAAAAATTCTTCAAGTTTATTGACTCTTACATGGTTTCTTATTTACTTTTTCCTCGTTAATTTTTTTTTTTAACTGGGAAAAATATTTTCTCTCTGTGGAAAATTAGAAAAAAAAAATTTTCCTTTTTTTCTCGTTTTATTTTATCATTAAATCCAAAAAGAAAAAAAAAAAAGTGTTAAATTTCTTTCCACTTAAATTAGTTTCGTTATTATTATTATTATTATTTTATTTTGGAATTCGGGTAAAAAAAATTCATAGAAATTTATAAAAAGTAATAATTTATTTATTAAAATTCCGATTGGAATATTAATAAATCAATAATGATCAATAAATTTATTTTATCGATTTGTCATCATTTGGTAAAATTCGATTCTAATTAAATTATTTCGAAACGATTATTTTGGCGCCGTTTACTGAAATCACTTCCCGTGACGACACGAACTTTCTTCCGGTACCAACAAATTCAAATTTGCTTTTCTACCAATCGTCGAACCGATAAATTTTTCTTCGAATCCTCTCAGGGAAAGAGGTTCCACGTTTAAATTCGGTCCTTTTTCCGGCATCAAACTCGTTCTTTCCCATTTCGAACCCCCGCAATTCTTACACGACACGAGGGGTACCAATTCGAGGGTTACGGTCCTGTACGAACATTTTCCGCATTTCCAAAATCTTTTCGTCGCTTTGACGACTTTCAACGGGTGTTTATCTCTTTTGCACATTTCCGACGCGGAAAATGTTTTGTAATTGCATTTTAAACAAATGACGGCGTTGCATTCCATTTTATATATCGACGCCATTTTATCTTCCATTTTTTCTCTCGTTTCCAACTTGTTGAAATATTTTTCCCGCATTTCCGTTTCCGCCGTGTTTAATAAATCTTTATTTTTCACTTCGGAATTCATCAATTGGAAAAATTTCTCCGTCATTCCGATTTTTTCCAATTTTTTTTTTTTGTCCGAATCATTTTCCGCCACGTCGGATCCTTCTTTTTCTCCTTTCATTTTTTTACATTTCTCTCCTTCTTTCTCTTCCATTTCTTCTAATTTTCTTTTAATCATTTTTATTTGTTCCGGTGTTCTTTTCTGTTTTCCACCGCCACCCCCTACTCCTTCCTCGATTCTTTTTATGGGTCCGTGCTTACGAACGTAATTCAATGCTTGAATTCTCGCCGCATTTCTTTCTTTTTTCGTTATTGGAACGTTTAAATTTATCATTTCGTTTTCCCTTTTCGACTCTTCCGGTTTCATCACTACCGAAGGAAAATTCATAACATTTTCACGTGGATTTTCCACGTGGTTGATGATGTTTTTCTTTTGCGTTAGCGGAGTCGAACTCGTCATCGGCGCGTGAAAATCCGACAAGGATTTCAACCTGTTTTGATCTTTTTCCACGTTTTTAAAACTTTTCTTACCCCTGATACCCGTAAATGATTTACCAACGTTTCCGAATATATTTTTCTTATTATTATTATTATTAACAGTATTTTTTCTAAAATTATTTATGTTGGCCGATACTTTCGGGGGTATGAGATCGGATCGTCTGCTCGCTTTCGTGTATTCCTTTTTCAAATGATAATTACAATACTCGCATTTGTCTTTGTTTACGACTCCGTAACAATTTTCGCCATTTTTCTTTTTGCTTTTGCATATCCCGTAGTCTTTCGACGTTCCCATGAGTAATAATTTATATGAATTATCCACTTTGAGCGTGGCTTCCGACTTTTCATTTCCTTCCATTACGGCAGGATTTAATATTCCGACAACGATTCCGACGGACGTTTTCCAAAATTCATTATATGCCGTACCGAAAAGGAAAACCGTTATTGTTTTTATGTCGCCGTGTAAATCCGTTAAATTCCATATGCAATATTGATTTCCTTTTTGTGACGTTTTACAAATTTTATTTACAATGACTCCCCCCGTGACCCAATCCGTATTTTTATAATTTTCCGTTTTTATAAAATTTTTTATACTCGACGTGCTTATCGACACCCTTCCGATCATTTTTTCTTTTAAAACCGTCGACGAAACCAAAGGATTGACTATCCTCATTTTTAAAACGGGGTCCACCAACGGTAACGATCCTCCATCGAATTTTCCACCCGTCCCTCTTTCCACGTCATTTTTTTTCAAATTTTCTTCCAAATGTTCGAGTAATTTCTCTCTCGCCAAACGAGAGTTGGATGAAAATTTTCGATCTTGATATTTAACTTCGACGACGACATCTTTCGATTTCGAAAGATTTTCCACCTTCGGTTTAATTAAATTTTTCAATTCTTTACCGCACGAATTGTATTTTCCTTCTTCGAAATATTTATTTTCTTCGTCGTCAGACGAATCCGTAAAACCTGTTTTAAAGAAAACAAAAAGAAAATTATTAATTTTCCTCATCTCTCTCTCTCTAATTGTTTAACCTTTTTCAATTTTCCTTTCCATTTTCAATAACACGTAACGAAACCAACTAAATATCTTTTACATCCTCAAATTTCTTCTACCCTTAATAATTTTATTAAATTTAATTTTTTCTCTACATTTATTTTAACTTAAGAGAATTTTCCTTTCCCCCTCCCCCTCCCCCACGTCGGCCCCCCCCTTCGCACGTATTTTATTTCAAAGTGAATCTTTCACATTCGCTTTTCGTGTTTTCATTCGAAATTATTTGAAACGCATCGAAATCGCAACAGACACACACACGTCACCGCACTCCCCTCCCCCCCATTAATTTTTACAAAAATATCCTCATT